TGGTTTCTTTAAAACTGAAAATTCTGCTCCGGTATCAACAAGGAAGTCCGTGGGGGTCCCCTCCACAGTTAGGGTTACCCTAGGCTTGGGGAGGGGGCCCGAGCCCCGTCTCCCCTAATCATCTTCCTCTAAGGTGAGGACCTTGGGTGTCTAGTGTTTCTTCTTGGGGCAGTCCCTTGCCCAATGCCCGTTTTCCTTACAATAAGCACATTGATCCTTATCTAAAGGCTGCCGAGGGGGTCCTTCAGGGTTCCAAGGTCTCCTTTGCCCTTCATTGCCCAGGTACCCTTTCTGCCTAGTTCCTTCTTCCTTCCTATGAGCTTTCTGTTGCCTACTACTGCAGCCAAAATCCTAGTTAAGTTTCTTTCTTGCCTTCTATCTTGTCTATCCTGTCTCTTCTCATCTTCCTTCTTTTCTCTTTCTCTTCTTTCTTCTTCAGTCTCTCTCTATGGTACACTGTCTCTGCTTCCTTAACTAGGTCTTGCAAAGATAATGTTTGCAGACCTTCCAGGTGCTGTAACCTTCTCCTAATATCAGAGGCAGACTGCCCAATAAAAGCCATAGCAACTGCTGCTTGCTGACTCTCGGAAGTAGGATCAAAGGGAGTATAACGCCTGTAAGCCTCTAAGAGACGTTCTAAAAACACAGTTGTAAAACTTCCCTTACCTTGGCCAAATGAGTGGGATGCCTGCTGGCTCCCTTGAGACCTGCCACCAGAGCCCGGCGATAGACCGTCAGCCGCTCCCTACCTTCAGCTGTGTTGTAGTCCCAGTTAGGATGATTTAAGGGGAAGCCTGCATCTATTTCATTCTGAAGTTGAGTTGGTTGACCATTGATTCCAGGCACATTCTTCCGCGCCTCCGAAAGTATTCTCTCTTTCCTCGGTGGTGAAAAGAACCTGCAAAAGCTGTTGACAATCGTCCCAAGTAGGCTGGTGAGAGAACATGAGGGACTCCATCAGACCTGTAAGGCTTGAGGGATTTTCTGAAAAAGGGGCATGGTTAGATATCCAATTGTAGAGGTCGGCCGAAGAGAAGGGCCAATACTGGAGTAATTGCAGCTGGTTAGGGTTCGCCGGTGGGGGGCCGTATACATACAGAGGCAATGCTGTAGTTGAATCTGGACCCTCAGGACTCTGGGCGCGTCTGCTCCTGGTCCCAGCAGCCGGTCCCTCTGCTGGTCCTCCAACGGCACCCTGTTGAGGATTCTGAAGGAGTATCGGGAGGGGATAACGGGGTGGGCTACTAGGCCATTCTGGAGGCTCCTCAATTTCGGAATATATCTTAGGAGGAGCTGAGGATTGAGCCTTATTTGGCAGTTTAGACTCCGCCATTTCTGCTTTGGTTTTTTTCTCCGTGTTGCGGAGTGCCAGGACTTGGGAGCCTGGCTTACTTTTCTGGGTCCAAGGTTTTAACCAGGCCGGAGGATCTTGCACCAGATCTTCCCAGACACAAATATAAGTCCTTGGTCAGGGTGAGGCCCTGGTCTCTTCTGAAAAACCAAATTCTTAATGGCAGAAATCACAGTAAGGTCAAGTGTACCCTCTGGAGGCCAGCCAACGTTGTACGTTGGCCATTCTGAAGAACAAAAAGTTCTCCAAGGTCCCTTCTTAACTTCTACAGACAGGTTGCGTGCCCTAGTTCTAATTTCTGTCCAGTGGTCGAGAGTTTGACCAAGAGGAGTACTGACAGTCTGTCCCATCGTCCAAGTCACACAGAAGAAGACAAACAGAACACTTAAAAAGACAGAGAAAGCCGAAACCAGAGCCCGCCTCTTGCGGAAACAGAATCAGACGGCCGAGGGGACCCAAAGTCTCTCCTTGGCACCCAGATGGGAAATCTCCGGGTGTTCCCGGACTTCCCTCAGACCTCCTGGGACGTCTCCCAGGGCAACAGTCGGTTATCTCCTGACACGTCTGTCGATAACTTTCCCCTCCGTCCTGGATAAGGGAGATCATTGCTCTCACGAGCGCGGACGACTGCAAACCAAAAGTACCAGATTCAGACAGTTCAGATAGCCGGCAGACAAAGACACAGACAGAATCGTACCTCCAAGAGGGGTCCCCAAGAATTTGGGTGGTCGCAAATCCCGGATGAGCCCCCAACTGATAGACCCCCAGATGGGGAGACCCTCACTCAAGTCTCGGGATAAGCCGACGCCCCAATGATTCAAGAGAGACTGTTCTTTTTGCAAGCACATGAGGTTTATTCGGGGAACCAGTGCACTGGGGCCGAGCTCATGACCCTTGCAGGGGCAGAGGAGTTCGACCCCTAGTAGCTGCAGCTGGGGGTTTTTAAAAGGGAAAAAACTGAATCGGGGAGTTAGGCAAACATCATAAACATAGCAGATGAGGAAGTTAAATGATAGCTTATGTCTTAACAGGAAGGTTATCTCAAGCAAGCATTCTTTAGGCATTGCACAGTTAAACACTGAACAGGAATGTGGTGAGCTAGTTCCTGGATAAGGGAGGGTTATCTTTTAGGTTTATCTTGTGGTCTCCAGTTTCTCAGGAGAGGGCAGAAGGGAAAGTTACTCTGTGATGGGCTAGTCACTGGGGCTCTACAAATGTTGAGTTGGGATCTCTCACAGGCAACACAGGTCTTTGATCTGTTCATTCTCCCAGCCAGGCTTACACACAGCTGGCTCCCTGAGGTTGTCCTCTGACTTCCACACGTGCACCACAGCATGCACAAGTTTGTAAGCCACGCATAATAAACGTAAACACATACAGCACAGAGAGATAGCAAAGAGGTTGTGAATTTGTAATGCTCTTGGAGAGCCTGGAGTTTGCTTGCTAGCACTCACCTTAGGAAGCTTGCAAACCAGGGTTCTGACGTTTCCTTTCTGACCTTAGGCCAGATTAAACCAACGGCAGATCCATTCAGACAACAAGGGGCCATCACCTGATCTACAGGGTGGCTGAGAAAAACGCTGGACTACGACAGGATATTATAAAAAAACATGCGAACATGCTCAGACATAAAACAGAGTCGCTCTTGACAACGTACCAAAAGTGAACACAGCCGGAAGAAGCAGAGGTATTTTGTTGCCTGAGGGCAACAGCCAGGTCGCAGCCTTGTGTGGAGCTTTGTGAAGCAGTCTTACAGGTGCGAGAGACAGATGGCTGGCTGCACTTACAGAGGACCTGGGTTTGGTTCCAGCTCCCACGTGGGCTCACGACCACCTGTAACTCCTGTTCTAGGGGATCCAATGACTGTTGCGCCCACCTCGACCAACAAGGAAGACGCAACGCCCAGACTCTTCTTTCAGCAGTTTATTCAGGAACCTTGAACAATCTTCTCCCGGGGAGTGCCAGGGAGCCCCAACCCACAGTTTAAAAGCCCTTGGGCGGCCAACCACAGTATGCCACGTGGAACATGCAGATATGTCCATGTACTCGGAAGCAAGCCTGATATCCAGCCTTAACCAAATACAGGTGTTGTTTATCACAGAGAGCACCTGCTGTCGGGCTAGCAGAAGGCGGAAGCCAGCGCCATCTTAAGGGTGCGGCACTTCGCAGCTCTCTACAAATGACCTCATCTAGCTTTTGCAGACACAACACACACGCAGTACACATATACACTCTGACAAAACACTCATACACATACAGCAAAATAATGTTTAAAATAAAGAGAAGGAAATCTTACAAGAGAAAATTCCAGATGTGTGGGCACATGGAAGCCGGAGATAGGCAGACATAGTGAAACCTATACACATTTGAGCTTGTCCTGAATCACAGATTCCAAACTAGAGTCTGATCTAACATGCCTTTGGAGAATGGGAGTATCACAGATGAGAACAGTTTTTTTTAATTGTAAAAAATTTATTTTATACAATTTTGAACTCATTTTGTTGTTGTTCTGTGTGTGTGGGTGTTTTGCCTCCCTGTGTGTCTGCACTGCATGTTTTCCTGGTGCCTGTGGAGATCAGAAGAGGGCACTGGATCTCCTGAAACTAGAGCTGTGAGCCACTATGTGGGTGCTGGGAATTGAACCTGGGTCCTCTGAAAGAGCAGCCAGCTCTCTTCACTGCTCAGCGATCTTCCAGCCTCAGTGGGAGTGGTTTTACGGACCAAGGAGAGCACAAGCTGATATGTGGTGGGAGCCCAGAATGAAGACACTGGACAGGAGCAGAGGCCCCTCCCCCAGGCTCTTCAGCCCAGAATGAAGACACTGGACAGCAGCAGAGGCCCCTCCCCCAGGCTCTTCAGCCCAGAATGAAGACACTGGACAGCAGCAGAGGCCCCTCCCCCAGGCTCTGCACAGAATGAAGACACTGGACAGCAGCAGAGACCCCTCCCCCAGGCTCTTCCGCACAGAGGGTGGGCAAGGGTGCTGGGCTTAGTGAAGAGAAAAATGACTATTCTTTACTGAGTGTGTTGGGGTCCGTGCCATATGGAAAACCCTGAAGGCCACAGCATGCTATGTTTAATTTGAGCCTCCTTTTTGTGATCTGCTGTTTATTCATCGCTCGTTTAACGTAACGCGTCTGCCTCAGCCATTGCTGAAAGAATCAGACCGCCTCACTCGTGCACTCTTGCCCAGCCTCAAGGGTGAGGACGGTTTGCAGAAGTCGGTTCTCCTTCCACCGCGTGGATCCCAGGGACTGAAACTTGAGTCATCCCGCTTGGTCGCAAGCACTCTTGACCCACTGAGCCGTCTTGCCCACCCCAGTTTTACTCCTCTCATCCATAGCCTTGTTCTGCAAAGAGCAGACGATTGCCAGAGATCAAAAGAACCAATAATGGACGGAGAAAAGGGTGAGTGGTAAACCTAGGGAGCACCAAGAAGAACCTCTAATCTTGCTCCAGTTTAATTGTTTTAAAAATCACAAACCTAGCCGGGCGTTGGTGGCACACGCCTTTAATCCCAGCACTCGGGAGGCAGAGGCAGGCCGATCTCTGTGAGTTCGAGAGCAGCCTGGTCTACAAAGTGAGTTCCAGGACAGCCTCCAAACAAAAACCAAAAACAAACAAACAAAAAAAATCACAAACTTTGGGCTTGTCACACGCCTTTAATTCCAGCCTTCAGGTGGCAGAGGCAGGTGGATTTCTGGGTTCAGTGTGAGTTCCAGGACAGCCAGGGCTACACAGAGAAACCCTGTCTCGGAAATACAAACAACATCACAGTCTGGAGGTCACGCAGGCAATCGACGTGCTCTTGGTGTTTCGTCAACTTTGCTCCAACTGAAGCCACCTTAGAGCTTAAAACAGCTGTCCAGGAAAAGGTTCCTTTTGCTATGTTCTCTTCCAGCAAAGGGTGTTTCTTGACTCTTAATGATTACATACATTGTTAGAGGCACCTGCAAAGTGAACCAGCCAGACCCCAGTGCTCAGAGTCACTCCTCCGTGTCTTTTCTCCGTCTGCTGCGCCCAGCAGCAGCCGTGGTCACTTGGTAGCTGGGGTGGTGTCTCCTCTGGGCATCCCTGAGGTGCTCACACAAACAGACTGCCAGTCATCCACAGGATGACTCCTCGTCCAGGTAGCTGGACACAGAGAAGGGGCCTCAAAGCTGTTCCTCAAATGGTCATGTGACTTGCCAGGTCAGTTAGTTTCCAAACCCACTCTCAGGCTGTTCAAAACGGGAGAAACATCAGAGGGGCCTATGGCAGACTTACCCAGAAATCAACTCTCTAACAACATTTAGGTGCTTAACCCGTGGCCAAACCCGTAGGGAGTGAGTCTCTCATTGGTCTCAAGAGAACCTAATGGTTCCCTTGGGGACAGACGTTGGCTGCTAGGCTGGTTACCAGAGTCTGAGAATTTAGGTTGCCTGGCCTGAGACAGTCTGTGAAAAAAAAATGAGGAAAAAGAAGGCGGTAGAGGAAGCCAGGTGTGGTGACGCACGTGTATAATTACAGCGGCCGAGAGATGCCGCCATACGGTTTTCGTGGTCATCCCTGGCTACATCTCATGCTAAAGGCCAGCATGGATGACTTGAGGACCCATGTCAGAAAAACACAATAAAAATACCAAGTCCTTTGAAAAAGTACTATGGGGGGTGATGGATGGGAGCTGTCTGTCGGAGTCCGCTTTGGCTTGGAAGGAAGTTGAAGGTGACACATAGCTCTCTATTTAGGCTTAGCCAACTTTTGTGGGTACCATTGTTTTTTTGTTTTGCTTTGTTTTAGTAGCATATAGACAGTTGAAGGGGGAACTGGTAGTTTTGGGGAGATTCTTTGTGACATTCAGATTCACTGACTCTTGAGTTTCTTCTGTAGATGAGGGTATGGTGGAAGCTGGGAGTCTCCCTACCACAAGCACAGGTGACTTTAAGAGCATCGCCCACTCCCCCTTACTAGGCGGTTAGGATGGAGTAGGCAGCCTCTCCTTGGGTGGCACAGGAGTAGTTGGACAGGAGAGGGTGAGGAGAGTGTAGGTGATGCCGTCGTCCTGGGGGGAGACAATGGCCACTGCAAAGCCCTCGTGAGGCAGAAGCCATGACTCAAGTGTCCTCTCTACATGGCAGGCCTCCACATGTCTAGTACCTTCTCCAGCCTCCCTTTACCTCCATCACGGCCGTATCTGGGAGCGGCTTATCTTGGTGTTTTATTTGGGGTGTGGGCTGAGGGAAGCGGTGGACAGAAGGGGAAGAGATGGACGGGGCTTCGTCAGGGAGGCTGTGTGCTGGGTCAAGGACAGGGTCTGCCTTGTGTGTTGTCCCAAGGAAGCTCAGGCAGCAGATGTTCCTCAGAAGGAAGAAGAAGGCTCAGCCCTGTTCTCTGCCACCACGACTGTGGAAAGACTCAGGTCTGAGCGATGCTGTCATTATGAGCAGGGTCACAGTGCCAGGTTGGAACAAGAAGAGGGAGAACTTGAAGAGCAGAGCAGTTGGGTCTGAGGGCAGGATGAGGGGCGAGGTCAGAGGAAGCAGCTGAGACTTGGGGATGATTGCAGGGAAGAGAAAAGACAATGTTGTCAGAGGACAGGCAGAGGCAGGGGACGGAAACAATGGTCAGAATGTGGAGCCTGAGGTAGCTTCCAGGGGCATCGGAGCCTGAGCCACATGGGCTCACTATAGATAGTGAGCTCCGGTCCCTCGGTGGCTGCCATTCCTTCATGCCGTCTCTGTTTCAGATGAGCAGGGAAGAAGCACATGGTCTGCTCCTTCGCCTGCAAGTTCAAGATTCTGAGGAAGATGGACGTCTGACCCATTGCCCAGGTCAGGTGACTAGGTCCTTGAAATGTTCTTGTACGAAAGGCAGGGTGGCGTTGTAGATAAACTCCCCCATGGAAGTGCTCCGTCTCCAGAGAATCCTCATCTGCCGATCGTTGGCCAGTTCCCAGGGGAAGGAGAAGGGGACCCTGATGGAGCCGCCCTGGACACCAGAGAGGCGCCTGGTTGTTTGACCCACCCACCCCCACCCCGAGACATTTACTCTGTTGGATCCTGCTGAGTTCCCTGGGAAGGATGTGGGGAATCTGAAGCTGTGGAAGGGGATGGAAAGGACAACCCAGAGCTTCCTGAGCTATCACCCATGTGCAGGTGTGGGACACAGGGCAGGACTGTGCCCATGTCCTTACGTCTATGGGACAGGAAAGACAGGGAAAGACTGGGTTGGACCCACTGTAAGAATGAGCTCCCTTTTGGGGTGCAGAGGAAGCTGGCTCCTCTATCAGAGGCCTACACAGCCCCCTCTCCCCAGCCCACTGGTCTCCTGTGGTGAAGGCAGAGTCCCTGCCAGCAAGGTCCCACCACTCACCAGCCTGCAGACGTGATGCTGGCAGCAGCAGAAGCAGGAGCCCAGCCACGGCCTGGTTCCCTCCAGGAGATGAGAGCAGCAGAGCCATCAGGAGGGCAAGGTTCAGGGTACAGTGACCCAATCCCCAGGGCCTCCTGAGAATCACTGAGGGTGGGCCCGCCCCGCCCCCGCCCCGCCCCGCCCCGCCCCGCCCCGCCCATCTCCTCGCCTTGTGGTCAGTCAGACTCTTCCCTGTGTTGTGGATCTTCCCTATGGTCACAGACAAGACAGATGCACCTGCCTTTGGGCCCAGCCCCACCTCTGCTGGGAGCTGTCATCCTGGCCTCGACCATGTTTCCCGCTCTCCCGCTTTGACCTTCTCCCTTCACATGCCCCATGCTGTCCCCTTTACTCTTCTGGACGGTGGTTGTGGCTTAGTAACTCTCAGGCCCTGGACTGACTTTTTCCAGCCAGCCCTGTCTTGTGAGCGAGTTGATGTATTTCACAGATGTTAAATCTTTTTTTTTTTAAAGAGCGGATCTGTGAAATCCATTGTGCTATTTACAGAGCTTGGCTGGAACTTCAGTTTGGGAACCCTTGTCCCCTTCACTGTAACTTTGCCAATAGACATAATGTCCTGTGCTTTGGCGGGGGTGTGGCCACAGACTGACTCCCTCGTGGGGCTTTGGAAAAATCTCAGGCAATAGGAAGGAGGAGGCGGGTCCCACTATTGCAGTCAGACCCTCCCGCCCCCACAGCACCCTGATTAGGACCATCTCCCTGGCCCTGTTGGCCAAGCTCTCAGATGTGACTTGGTTTTCATATCCTATAGCTTGTTGTCACTGTTGGCAGTCTTCCAGCCACTTCCTGTGCCTGGTGGCCCCACAAGACTGGAATTGAGACCCTGAGAACAATGCACTAGGTGATGTTTGAGGCCCAAGAGCTACGTATTGATTAGAGGTCCTACAACCCCTGCAGTCTCACAGCTGTTGTAGGCTGAGGAAGAAAGGTCTTGGGCACGGGCTTCTCCGGATGAGGTAGTGACGGAACTAGACCATCAGGAGGGCGGGTAACCGTGAGAAAGACGGAAGGAGACAGTCGGGCTCTGCTGGGGTACAGACATCTGGGGTTAGGTGCAGGTTGCGGAGGGGGCCAGGCAACAGGAATAGGGAAGGTGAGAGACTAGAGGCCCTCAAGCAGGGCTGTCAAGGGGGTGAGGCTGAGGGCAGCAGAGGCTGCACTGAGGAAGGCAGGAGACAGTGGAGGATTCTTGGGGTCTAATGGCTGATCTTCCCAGAGGAGAGCCGGTAGGGAGAGGAACAAAGTTGGTAGCTTCTGGACAGTGGCTGGGGATGGCCCAGGTTACCCGTCCCAGTAGAGAGCAGGCACTCTCCCCACTCACAGACCCTTTGAGGATATTCCCTGGCCCGTGGCTTCTTGGCTTCTTGTGCTATGGCCCCACGGGGACCATCTGAGGCCTCAGCAGCAGGGTGACTTGTCACCTGGTAGAGACAAGACCACTCATAGGAGTTCCAGGGGTGCAGGCCCCCACGACTGCTCAGGCTAAGTTTTGTTTCCCCTCGAAAAGTCCTTCTGCTTCTCTCCCGACCCTCTCTGTACCTCAGGCTCTGTTCAAGCGTGGCAAAGCCTCCATGCGCCAGCCCAAACAACAGCTCCGTCTGCTGGCTGCCATCTCCCTCCTCGGGCTTCCTCACCCTCCTTATGCACCCAAGCACGGGGAGCCTCTTCTGTATCAAGCTATGTGGCTCCCCATGCTAGAGTGGCCCAGGAATCCAAACCTGAGGTCCTTATTTTGTCTCCTCCAAGGAGGCCCAGGGTGTTTTCGCACGCAGAGGAGCCCAGCTGCTGGACGGAACAGCTGGAGGTGGGCGAGCCTGTGTCTGCCAGGCCTCTCTGCCTGCCTCCGAGTGGTCGCTGGCCGGCGAGCAGTGTCTGCCTCTCTCATAAAGAGCTGGGGGAGCAGCAATGGAGACTGGGAGGGGCCAGGGTGCCGCTCCAGCTACACGGGGAGTCGGTCATGAGGAGGCCAGCTCAGACAACGGGGGTTGAAGTGCCAGGAGACCCTGCTCCCTGCGTCCCTCAGCAAGACTCAGCCTGGGTCTCAGTCCCAGTCCCTTCTGGCTGTAACCTGGTCCTACCTCCCAAGGGACTGCATCTGCCTCTGACCTCCTAAAGAAGTAAAGTGTAAATGGCGCTAAAGCCCCCCAAAAGAAAGATCACTTTAATGACACTGTTAAAGCCAAGGCTGGAAATGCGTGCAAAACAGGATGCAACAGCCCTCGCCCTGCCCCCCTCTCACACCTGTGTCCACATCCTAGCTAGCAGGGTGTGGTCTTATCAGAGGCCTAGAAACAACACAAGATTCCTGAAGAGGCCTGGTGTCCAGGATGAAGATGCCAGCAGAGGGATGTCCCAAACAGCTGGAGAGAACCGAGGATGTCTGTCATTGAACTCCCGAGCATCTTTCCAGGCTACCATGCTCCAGACGGTCTGTGGAAGCGAGGATGTTGGGAACCGTGTGGGGAAGTCTCTCCCCTGCCAGAGCATACAGTCCATTCTCGGTGGAGATGAAGCTGCCATGTGCAGAGGCCACGCAGGGACGCTGGGGAGACGAGACGGGGTTGGTTGGTGTGGGTCATGGGTGGGGAGTGGTGTGCACTGGAGCAGGTGTTGGTCAGGGTGGACCAGAGCCTCACACAGAGGTGCTGAACGGGGTGTGGGAGTGGACAGGGATGCTTGGCTGGGAGGCTGGGGGACCCCTGGTGCTCTGCTCCAGACACCATCCTTCAAGCCTCACCTGAGCCTGCCTCTGTGTCTGGGTGCTGGTGGCGGATGGCACCTGGGAGACAGAAGAGGAGGAGTCAGGGGCAGAGGGCAGCTAGCCAGATGGTGTGGGGATGTTACTGGACCCGTGCTCACCAACGCTTCTGGTGCCACAGGAGATAGAGCATCAAGATGATACCAAGCAGAAGAAACCCTGAGGTTCCCAAGATCCTGGCCAGGTCTCCTTGAAGAGCTGAAGCTGAGAGTCCTACAAACAGAGGAAGGTATCAGATGGGCCTGTCAGGGCCCTCCCTGGCTCCCGCCACCCCCACACACACCTGGATCTGAGCTGTGCAGGTCTCCACAGGCAACCCTGGAGCCATGAGGGAAGGTAACGAACTCACAGCAGAACGTGGTGTTGGTCAGGGAGTTTCTTGCTTTGGATTGTTCCAGGGTCAGAGTGAGAGAGACACTGTTGGAGGTTTCCCAGCGGGCCTGGGAGCCAGGGATCCACTGCTGGGTGCCAAGTTCTGGATGTAACACAGCTAGTTTGGTCCTTTGGGCCTCAACAGACCCTTCCCAGCTCACTGTTACGAGCGAGATGAGGTCAGTTCCTAAGACCCCACAGCGGATTGAGAGGGAGAGGGATAGGAGCTTGGTGGCCTCCATCTGGACTTGCACCCACACCTTGGGACTCCCTGAGGAACGAAGACAGGAAGGTCAGTGGCTGGGTCTCCGCCTCCATGGCCCGGCATTTCTCTGTCCTCCCCACTCACCTTCAGAGACACAGAGAGTCAGCAGGGAGGAGAAGAGGACCAGGGCCTGAGCCCGGGCCATGTGTGCTGCAGAGACAGCCTATGTTCTGTTTTCATGGCAGAAGGTTTTCATGCTGTCAGCAGTTAGCCACAGCAGTGGTTCCCCACAACTTAACCCTATTTCCTTTTCAAAGGTCCTCAAGGTTCCCCCTCTTAAAGTTACAGTGTCAGGATTTTCTTTCCCCTCCCTAGACCTGCAGAGGTGGGGAAGGCTGCAGGAATTGTGACTTCAGTCAGCTCTTCACCTCAGGGAGAAGAGGGTGCATGGCTACTTCTGAGATGCTTAGCCCAGATCCCATTCAGCCTTACCCAGGTAGGGACAGGGGATGGAGCAAGCAGAGAACGGGAAACCTGCATTCAGGAAAGCCATTGGGGAGGCATCCAGGAGCCAGCCTGAACAATCCAGCACACTCTCCTTATCCCCTACTAGCAGTCCCCGGTTTGAGTCTGCAGCCCACCGTCCCTCCCAAGCTCCTGCCCCAAGCAGAGCTCTGCCTGTAGGCGCCTGACTTCAAGCTGCTTAGACGGGAAGCACGGCCACCAAGGCTTTGGTCCATCTCCGGCATCCTGTTGACTCGCATTCTAACCAGCTGACTTCCCTCTGCTGCCCTTACCACCACCACCCATTTACATCCTCGTCTGCTGGGAAGAGCGAAATTACAGGCTGGCTGGCTTGTGGCTCCACACCCCCTCGGCTTCACTGAAGCAGCCTAGGTAACCGGGACAACACTAGGTCGCTCCTTCACATGCCTGCCCCTCTTTCACACGAGCTTGAAGTCTCTCTGACCTGTTCTGCTTCCCTTCTTGACTCTCCCAACCCCGTGTGTCAGCATGCTGTGTTGAATTTGGAGAGCCCAAGAGCCCTTGCCCATGAGTTCTGTCACAGAAGCAGTGAGCCAGTGGCCCCACCAAATTATTTTCCTTTCATCAAGTGTTGCTCCAAATCACCGTCCTGTGCAAGGTCATTTACAAAATGCCACAAATTGACCAGGGTGTGTCAGTGTATGTGGTGACAGGTGACCACGTCCAGGGATTAGAACATTGTGTACTGAGCCTGAATCCCAGAGCTCAGGCTATTTATTATCTGAGGACTGTCTTGTCACTTCATGCATAAAAACCAGCCCCCAGAGGTGCCAACAGCGTGGCCTCCAGGCCACTGCCCCCACAGTTCCCAGCCTGGCCAGCATTCTCTTGATGTCCTCTGTGCTCACATGACATTCCTGACAGAGACCTGCTGTCACCAGTAAATGTGACAAAGCTGATTCAACTCGGAGAGGCCACAGGACCTTCGAAAGCTCCCATATCAAAGCTGCACCCTGTACTACAAGGCTAACTAGATAATTAACTTGAACTTCAGAGACTGTTTGGCTTGTTTAACGGCCGTCTTTAGACATCTTAGTAGCAGTTAGGCTTCAGACCTGGGACAAATGACTGAGGTGTCCATTAAGCCACCAAAGAGGCCTGGCCTCTAGGTTTCCCTGCATCCCTCAGACCCTACTTGCTACAGGCCCTTCTGGCTGGCACACCCCACCCCCTATGGTAAACTCCAGCAGCCCCAGGGCAGGGCTGACCTTCCTTATATAATGCAACCATTTTGGTTACCTTTTATCTACTCTCCTTCGAGCCTCCTGGCGGCTACACCTGGTTCCCCTCTGTCCCCTCTCCTTTCCCTTCCCCCCTCCCCACATGGCTCAAGGTCATGTCCACTCTGCACTCCCCAGATGTCTCCCACATATCTATAATAACCTTTCTCTTCCACATATCTAAAAACAGTCATTGTTGACAGAAGTTTCTGTCCTGCCCGGTCCTCAAGCCACTTAGTCCCAAATAAATGCACAGAGGCTTATATTAATTATAAACTGTTCGACTTATTGCTCTGGCTTCTTATGGGCTAGCTCTTTCTATTGGTCTGTGTATCTGTCTCCACATGGTCTTGGCTTACCAGTAATTATTAACCCTTTCTATTGGTCTGTGTATCTGTCTCCACATGGTCTTGGCTTACCAGTAATTATTAACCCTTTCTATTAGTCTGTTTCTGTCTCCACATGGTCTTGGCTTACCAGTAATTATTAACCCTTTCTATTAGTCTGTTTCTGTCTCCACATGGTCTTGGCTTACCAGTAATTATTAACCCTTTCTATTAGTCTGTGTATCTGTCTCCACATGGTCTTGGCTTACCAGTAATTCCCAGACCTCTTGCTTCCTCAGCAGCTACATGGCGTCTCCCTGACTCCACCTACTACCTTTCTCTATTCCTGTTTGGATTTCCTGCCTGGCTAAATTCTGCCTGTCCATTGGCCAAAACAGCTTTATTCATCAACCAGTAAGAGAAACATACATTCACAGCAAACAGAAGGACATCCCCCATCAAATCCAAATCATTTTCCTCCCTGCCTCCCTCCCTCCCCCCTCCCTCCCTCCCTCCCCCCTCCCTCCCTCCCTCCCTCTCTTCCTTTCACACAGAACACATGATCTTTCCTATACCTTCTGGGTAGATGGGATGAACATCACTCAAGTCTTCGGTTCGGGCATGGAAGTCTTCGCATAGAAGCCCTGACCGCCACATCCCGGCCTCCTTGTGGAGGTAGCCAGCTCTTTCCTGGATGCCCTTTTTCTTTCTGTCTAATGTCTTGGCCTAATGCAGAGAGAAAACCAGGCAGTGGCTTTAACAAGACTCAGTTCCTAAGGTCCAAACACAGGGTTCTGTATGGATAAGTCCATTAAAATCCACAATATGGGGATTGCTTGGCAAAGGCACTAGATGACCTGAGTTCAGTCCCTGGGCTTCACACGGTAGGAGGGGAGAAAGACGGGCAGCAAGTTGTCCACTGACTTCTATACAGTATCCAAGGGCGGCAGCAGAGCGACTGCCCCATAAGGAAGGTTTTACTATAGATGAGGTGTGAGGGCCAAAGCCTGTAGGCCCCACTTGCCTGAGGACAGATAATTTCCTGGAATGCTGGGGACTGCTGTCCACATAAGATAACTTTTGTGCACAGGTTGGTTGCTCCAACGGTATAGGACGTGCTTAATCACATGCAGGCCGGAGTACTAGGCAGGAAGTACGTCAGGGTGCGTGCTTGCTCCCAGTTGTGTGAAGACAGGAAGTACATAGCCGTGTGGGTTTGCCTTCATAATAAGCACCTGACTAATGTAGTAAGAGCCATTCTGTGGAGATCCTGGGTATGGACCTGGCCAGTGTCTATCATTCAGGCCAGTATGTAAGAAAACCTGCTTCAAAATTGGTTCAAAAATTGTGGTAGTGGTCTTATTCTCCTGTGGTGGAATTAACAGAGAGAAAATGTCTAGAAGCATTTAGAAGAGTCCAGAGCAGAGGGAAAATGTAGTGGACTGGGTCTAGCCAGGGCTAGGGAAGTGAGAGAGCACAGTGGAGATAACCGAGGCAGGGGGACAGCGAGAGAGGGACAGTGAGAACAGCAAGACGGGGGGGGGGGAGATCTGAGAGCAGGAGGGCCAGGAGGCTCGGGGAATTTGAAATGTCTAACAGGTACTTGTGAATAGGGACTGAGGGAGCCTGGATGCCAGCATGGACTCTGATATGCAACCACGTGTGTATGTCAATGAAAAGCCATGTTCTTTCTAGTTTTTTTCCCCCAGAGGCAAAGGAAGTGACTCCTTTTGGTGGACATGAGTGCATTTCATTTCGCAGGGCAGGCTGGCTTTTATCTAGTCCAGCTTGAGCTCATTTCTGGATCTATGGACTTGCTGAGACCTAACATATTTGTGTGCTATTGCATGCATGCATGTGACACAAAATAAATAAATGTAATTTTAAAGTTCAAATATATATACATATATGCACACACATATATATACACATGTATATATGTATATGTATATATATATATTAGTTTTTATGAGACAGGGTTTCTCTGTACTGTTTTGTGTCATATTTGTTTTTCTGTCCCTGAGTGTGTTTTTGTATTGTCTCTTTCCCATCTCTTCTTCTAGTGGGTGCAGAAAGAGCCCCTTTCTGGTATGGTGGTTAGGGCACCAGAGTTCCCTTTTGGTGGGTGCTAGCAAGTCCAATAATCTGGTAGTTCTTCTATTCCTCGTCCTCGTTCTGGTCCCGTGGGTGGAGAAGACCAGGAATCTGGGGTGCTTAGCCTCCCACCTGGTCCCCTGGTCCCTTTGCTGGATCTGCTGGTTTCCCGGTTTCGCTGGTGGGAGAGGAGACCTGGAATCTCGGGCGCCTGGCTCCCGCCGGGATTGGAAGCTCTGTGCAGTTCCCAGGCGATCCCCAGGCACTGGAACACAGGCCCGGATGCAGGGCCTGTTGTACCTGGTCCCACAGGAACAGCTGGTCCCCTGGTCTCCCTGGATCCGCTGGTTTCCTGGTCTCTCATCTTTACTGTCTTAGCCACCTGCATCTGTTAGGCTAACTCAGAAAGTCCAATTAAATCATAGATCTAACTAAGCATCACTGCTCTTATAAGAATTGTCTTCATTATGATCTGCAAGTAAACTGCCGGTGAGGAGTGGGTTTTCCCAAGAAACAATCACACTACAGTAGACACAGTATGACCCTCTCATACAGTAACTACACCATGTCAAAGCAGGAGCACAGAAACAATCACACTACAGTAGAAGATACAGTATGACCCTCTCATACAGTAACTACACCATGTCAAAGCAGGAGCACAGAAACAATCACACTACAGTAGACACAGTATGACCCTCTCATACAGTAACTACACCATGTCAAAGCAGGAGCACAGAAACAATCACACTACAGTAGAAGATACAGTATGACCCTCTCATACAGTAACTACACCATGCCAAAGCAGGAGCACAGAAACAATCACACTACAGTAGACACAGTATGACCCTCTCATACAGTAACTACACCATGCCAAAGCAGGAGCACAGAAACAATCACACTACAGTAGAAGATACAGTATGACCCTCTCATACAGTAACTACACCATGCCAAAGCAGGAGCACAGAAACAATCACACTACAGTAGAAGATACAGTATGACCCTCTCATACAGTAACTACAGCATGCCAAGCACAGCAGGACACAGAAGCAGCAACCAGGATGATGCACAGCAGAATCAAGGGGCGTTATGGCG